GATGATGATGACGACGACGATGATGATGATGATGATGGTGATGGTGTGATGATGCCGATTATGAGCGCAAAAAACCATTATTTAATTAAATTAACTTCATTCAAGTATGAGTTGGATACTAGCAAACAAACAATAATATGAATAATAATAATAATAATTAATAATAATAATAATAAATAATAATAACAAATAATAATAAGTCAGATATATGATAATAACAATAATCACAATTGAAAGTTTCATAAGATGAATACTTCAAAGAAAGAAATTATCTTGCTGGCATCATCCCCATCGTCGTCATCATCATCACCTCCACCACCAACTTTACCACAATTATCATCATCATCGTCGTCGTCATCATCATCATCTTCGTCATCATCATCATCACATTCACCATCTTGATCATCATCAGCACCGACGACTACCTTCTTTTTTCTTTAATTCCACCAACTCGTGCTTTTGATGTCTTACGTGGCATCGATGAGTAATAAAAATACAATCATCATCATCATCATCGTCGTCGTCGTCATCATCATCGTCATCATCATCATCTGCATCCGTTTCTTCATCATCATCGTCGTCGTGTTGTTGTTATAATTTATTTATCTCTGTATATTTCTTCGTTTGTCTGTTCGTTCGTTCATTCATTTATTAGTCCATTCACTCATTCATCCATTCATTCATTCATTCATTTATTCATTCATTCATTCCTCCATTAAAAATTTACAAAGCACAAACTAACAATTTTAATAATGATCATCTTTCATCTGATAATTCATAAATCAATCAATGTTTTTTACTCAACTGCTGAGTCATTCGCATTCATTCCTCCATTTGTTAATTCAGTCATTCATTTCTGCATTCATTCATTTATTTCTGCATTCATACATTTTCCACTCATCATTCTTTCCATCTATCCACGGATGACTAATGAATAAGTACATTTGTAAATCGTAATGACGGACGTATAATGATAAATTCTTTGATTCAAACTGACACACGTATGCACACACACACAAACACACATACATACAGACATACAAACACACAAACAAACACACATACACACACACAAACACACATACATGCAATTTTTAGATATGGGTTAAATCTTAATGGACCATCCTATGAAAATTGATACCTAGACAACAACAACAACCAGTTCAATACATCAATATTAATCAGCAAACACACATACAAACAAACACACAAATACAAACAAACAAACATACATACATACACATACATATGCATCCATGAATGCATAATAGGATGAAGATGACGTCAAAATGATTAATATTCATTCTAGTAAACCACCAATAGAAAAATAATCTTTTTTAACTCGTAAATTAACCATATTAATTTCAATGTTATTTTCATTATTATTATATTATTATTATTATTATTATTTTTAATGTTATTCTTATCATGGCTATTTTATCACTTTAAAAAATGTTATCATAAATTAAAAATATTATCTGTTTTGAGTTTTTTTTCTTGAATGAATGATCAACGAATGAATGAATGAAGGAGTTTGTAAATGAATGAGTGAATGAATAAATTAATAAATAAATGAAAGAATGGATGTGTGGGTGAACGAATGAATGAACGATTGAATGAATGAAAATTTAATGGCTGAAAACGAAAGAATTTTGAAGAGCCCATATAATTGAATGTTAAGACGGACGAACGAAAGAACGTACTTTTGATTGACTGATTGAATGAATGAATGAATGGATGAATGAATGAATTAATTAATTGATGAATTAATGCCAGAATGAATGGATGAATGATTGAATGAATGAATGAAATGACCAAATCAGTATCCATCAACAAAGTATTATAAATAGCTCTTTATAAGAATAAAATTACAATCCTCACTGACAAAATATTTCCGGTTTGTTGTAATTAAATATAGTAAATTATGAGTAATTATCATAATTATAATTAATAATAATAATATTATTATTATTAATTAATAATTAATAATAAAACCTGGAAAGATATAACGTCCAGATTGTTCAAAAAATCCAACAACTCATCAACTTCATCTTTCTTTCTTTTCTTCGGCATTTTTTCATTCAGTCAATCATTCATTCATTCATTCATTTATTAATTAATTTATTCATTCATATATTCGTTTCTTCACTCAATTATTTATATACGGCATTAGTCAATAGAATTTTTCTCTGGCATCAACTTTCACACGATCGAAAACTTAACTGAATAAAAATTAGCCACATCTAAAAATCTCTACATTATTATTATGACAGCATAATTAAAACAAATCAAATAACGTCTTCCATAAATATAATTAAATAATTTAATTAAACGAGCTATATAATTGATTCATTCATACAATCATTAACTTTTTCATTTATTAAATTATCTATTGACATTCGTAATCCGCATTTAGAGTAGTTTATAGTTAATAATAATTCTTCATCTGTTATAATTATAGATTAAAAATTAATAATAATAATAATAATTTAAAAAAATTAATTATATATATATATATTTTGTTTCGTTTTGTTTCATATATTATATGTTATAATAAAAAACTTCCATTATATGATATAATACAGTATGGGTAATTAATAGGCATATTGTGACTTTATTATTCAACAAAAATAATAATATCAATTATCCAAATTTTATTCATTCATTTTGTATTTATACACCCCTCAATCCATCAGTCCGTCCGTCCGTCTCCTTCATTCCTTTATTTATTCACCCATCAATCAATCCATCCGTCCATCTATCTATATTTCCGTATTCAACAAACTCAGCAACACAATATTATCCATGTATATCTGCTGATGCTAAATCTATATATATATAAACATATATATACACACACACATATATATATATGTATATATATATATATATATATATATATGCTACTATATCTATACTATGATAACATATATACAATGTATACATGTATATTTATATGTATTCAAGTATACCCATACGTACATATATATAATGTATATGTGTATGTATAGTATGACAAAACGTGACATAAATGCAGTGTATATAGAGTATTTATCGATTTCCTAACTCCACCCAAGACCCATTTCTTGTCACGTGTGTGTATATCTACGTACGTGTGTATGTGCGTATGTGTGTATGTGTATGTGTGTGTACGTACGTGTATATGTATGTGTGTACTATGTGTTAGAGGTGAGCGGGAATTGAACCCTGTTACCAATTTTCTCCCATTATTTTCTCATTCCCGACTCTCTCCCGAATTCCCATTCATGACAACGTTCCCGAAAATTCCCATTTCCTATTTTTTAACTCATTCCCGCCCGTTATGTAGCTCTATAGAATTATATATTGTTATATGGTGTTAAATGTATTTATATACATTTTTATAGAGTTACAAAAGTTTTTTTAAAGTTGTATAGTATAGTTATTGTTGACGCATGCAATATTGTGTTTTCTTTGCTTGTATTTGTTTTTGATAGTTTGTATTAGCATGTTTTACTAAATAATAAATAAACATTTGTTTGTTTGTAGGTATGTATGTATGTATGTATGTATGTATGTATGTATGTATGTATGTATGTATGTATGTATGTATGTATGTATGTATGTATGTATGTATGTATGTATGTATGTATGTATGTATGTATGTATGTTAAAACCAAATCAGCGATGAGTGACACTAAACAGTCAAACATCTGAAAAAATCGGTTAACAATTGATATCTCGTTATTCGCTCACGTCGGCGTTTAATTGAACATTTTCGGTAACACAGACGCGCAAAAACCTTTGCAGCAAACAAGATATATGATTCATGGCGAAAAATAGCTCTCTGCTGTCGCCAGACCTGCCACTTATCATTTTGCAAATCTTTTTAAAAAATATTGAAGTGTTGTTGTCCATCGGGCCAAGAACCTCGATGCAAACAGGTAAAAAATCCATCGAGGGCAGGGCACCTTCATATTTTTTAAACTTTTCATCCGATGCCCTGGTTGCGGCCAAACCACTTTCTTTGCTGGTTAAGTGCACGTACCGTTCCGCTAATGTGCCCGGAACGGTTACGTCCCACGCCAGGCATCTACCGGCTCTCCAAGGAATCAACGTGCAGCCATCCGGACGTTTTCCATCCAACGCGGAAATTCCCGAGGGCTCTTTAAGAACGGGTATTGAAGCCTTGGAGAAAAGCCGGCAGATGTAATCATTTAATGCGGAATGGCGCAACTGACGACCTCCACCTAAACGACAGACCAGGCCGTGGTGACCGAGTTCGTTAGCTTCCGCACCGCACCTACACAGGTATGTATGTATGTATGTATGTATGTATGTATGTATGTATGTATGTATGTATGTATGTATGTATGTATGTATGTATGTATGTATGTATGTATATTTGTATATGTGTTTATGGGTATATACGTACGTGCGTGCGTGCGTGCGTGCGTGTACGTGTGCGTACGTTTGAACGTGCTTGCACACATCATATTTCGTGCTGCGTTTTGTCTTGGCGGCGTCTTTAACAGGTGTATTTTTTCTTTCCATCTTTCCATCATCGTCGTCGTCATCTTCACTATTATCATTTTCCTCCTCCTCATCGTCATCATTATCTTTATCTTTATCATGGTTATCATTATATTTGTTCACTTTTTCGCTTTCTCTCTTTTCTCCTCTCTCTCTCTCTCTCTCTCTCTCTCTCTCTCTCTCTCTCTCTCTCTCTCTCTCTCTTACCTTCGTGATCATCATCGTCGTCGTCATCATTTCGCTTGACCATATGGAGTACATCAGACATTTATTATCAACTTGTTTGCAACAATATGTCCTAGACATCTTATTATCTAGCGCTTCTTTTTTTGTTATCAGCATCAATGTGATTTTTTTCATCATCAGTCATTCATGTCATCACCATCATCTTTTTCTTCCTCTTCCACCTCTTCTTTCTTCTCCTCTTCCTCTTCCTCTTCATCATCACCACCACCATCATCGTCGTCGTCTTCATCATCACCATCATCATCGTCATCATCTCATTATCTGATGACCATGGTCATCATCATAATTCACGTTTCACATGCATAACGTCTTCATATTTCTACTCTCTTTTTGTTCTTCACTTTCTCTCTTTCTCTTTCTTTTTTTCTTTCTTTCTCTCTCTCTCTTTCACTATCCCTCTATAGATCTTCCTATCTACCTGTTCGCTTCTAACAGAAATCAATACTCACTTGGCCAGTGCATATAATGTAAGAAATAATTATATGCAGTCACTGTTTTCTGTAAAATTTCAGTAATTTTCAGCAGTTTGTAAAATAAAATGTCTTAAAATTATGATGGAATTATCAGTTATTTGCCGTAAAACTTTTTTTTTAAACAGTTTTGTTTTTTTCAGAATTATTTTAAAAAGAAACAACATGCTTGGCTGTCCATAAATTATTTTAGTTCTTGATTGGTTTTTTTTTTTGATAAACTCGACTTTGAACGTTTTTGGACGCAAAGTGCTCAAATTTGTCATCAAAATTAAAATTTAGCGAAGATTTTGTTTGCTTAATTTATTACTATAATAAAAATGGATCGTGTCATGATGGTGAATTTTTTTTTTATTAATTTTTAAGCGATTTTAGTAAATTGCTAATCCGAATTTGAAAATTAGTCATTTTATTCAAAATTCGTCATCTTCATGCCCACAATTCAAGCTTCAAGTGTTCGTCACGTTCGTCAGTCAAGTTAAATTTAAAATTTCCCCCGCCATTTTAGATCTTGGGCCAAGCGAACACGGAAGCCATTAAAGAACCCAGAGGCTTCATAAAGTTCATCCAAATTGTAAGTTTTGTGAAGGAATAAAATAAATGAAACAAATTGAATGTTTTATAAGTTATTTATACATAATTTGCTGTACTGACATCATGTTTCATACATGCATTTCATAATGTTGTCAATCAACTTGGATTTAACTTGAAAGCCTGAAATTTACTGGTAGTTTCTTAAAAATCATATTTAAAAAAAAAAGGTCATAGCCATATGTGCATTTGCCACAGCGGTGAACAACAGCTCCTACACGGCTTTCAACTTCGTCTGTAATGAAACCAGTCTTGTACAGAGTCGCAACCTACCATTTTATTACCCTTACAAGTCAGTTTCCACAAATTATTAAATCATTCATAAATGAAATAATATCCACAATTGTTTTGTTTCATTACAAAGACAGACATTGTTAAATTTCATAAAGAAAATTGAATTCGAAACAGTTTGCAAGCCTCCAGTGTGTTTCATCTGCCACTTTGTCCTAAAGCCAATGAAAGTGATGTTGTTACGCAAGGAAGTTGTTACGGTGACTTTAGTGGTCGATCTCAATTGTTTGTCTTTGTTGGTGTATCTGCTTTCCTCTACAGTCTCTTCATGGTGACCTTCTACATCCTGGCTGATGATAAGTACCACCAGATTGCTGTCATTCCAAACATTGTCAGTCCACCTCTCATTTTTTTCATTATTTTTTTCTATTAAATAACTAACTAAATAATTAAATAATTAATATTGTGATGAATTTTCTATTGGTTGACAGGATTTCATAATGACAGTCATCTTCACGATTGCCTGGTTCGTGTTCTCGTCGGCTTGGGCAGATGGTGTCGTAAAGATCAAACACTACACGGACCCCAACTCGCTCTTCCTCGAGAACTCTTTCAATAAAGAGAACTTGCCTGAATGCCTGCCTGAGAATAAGCTGGTCTCCTGTCAGGCTGATCCTGATCACACTGGGAATTATAAGAACCTCAATATCTCCATTGTTAGTTCTCTCTCCCCTCTCTCTCTCTTCTCTCTCTTTCTCTTCCTCTCTCCCTCTCTCTCTTTATATTTATATGTTATGCATTTATGTTGTTTAGTCTATTACCATTTTCAATTTACATAAATGGCTGTGTGGATGATTTGTTGTTGTTTGTATTCAAATGCATATTTCTCATCATAACAATTTGCAATGATTTCATGGTTTAAACATGCCACACAAACACACACATACACACACGTTGCAGCCCAACCTTGATTTTAAGCCCATCCCTATTTTAATTTGACAGGTGTTTGGCTTTCTCTGTTTTGGAGTCTGGCTAGGCAATCTTTGGTTTCTGTACAAAGAAACTAAATGGTACAAAGATAGCCATGGGGTCAGCCAACAACAACAACAACAGCAGCAGAGTCCGAACAACATGCCTTCTTCACCTTCGTCAGATTTCCAATAGAGATCATAATGATAAGCTGCTAGAGCATAATTATTACTCTACAGCTATTGTAATATATATAATACAACATAATATAATATAATATAACTTAATATAATAAAATGTAGTATGATGTAAGTTAGTGAAATTGATTCAATAATGCTAATTGCAAGTTGCGTGCAATGTATTTTGTGATGTCGTTGGTGATGGGTAGTTGTCGCTGTGATGATGTTAACGCTGGTCATGATAGTGATGAATAGAAGGGTGGTGGGTGAGAGTTTAGCGATTATTTCATGGTGATAGCGACTGACCAAGAGGATGGAGATTGAAGTTTTCTATTTATTGTTTTTGGTTCGTTTGTTTCAAATTTTCTGGCAAGGGTGAATTTGAGGTTCCATTTTGTTTTGTTTTGATATATATATATCTCTTTTTTTATTTATTATTTTTTATTTATTTAATATTCGTTTTAATGGATATCCATGAATGAATGAATGATTAATTGGATGAATGATTGATTGGATGAATGAATGAATGAATGGATGTTACACTGAAATTAGTAGAATAGATTTTGTTTATTATTCTAACTGAAATATTTCATATGTAAATTGGTTCCGATGATGATGATGATGATGATGATGACGATGGTTGAGATGATAATGAGGATGATGATATTCATGGTAGAGTTTGCAGTTTTTTCTATCACTCTCATAGGCTACTGTGTTTTTTTTATTTTAATTCGTCGTCTCAATGTTTTAAATAAATTTACTTTCTCACCATCATACTTTTTTTCCACAGCTATCTCACCTATTCATTCGTTCGTTCATTCATTCAACAACAACAACAACACACGTTTAGACGACATTTTCCCCGAGATCGGGGGTTGCCGTTTGGCTACCTATGATGAAACCGAAAAACCCCTCGACGCCAGTCCATAATAAGTAAATAAGCAAGTCGTTCGTTCATTCATTCATTCATACATTTTTGCTTTTTGTCATTCATTCATTTGTTCACTTATTCCTTCTTTCTATCTATCATTCTATCTCCGACAGTTCCTCAATGTGATTGGTTGCCTTCTGTCCATACATTAATTAATTAATTAATTAGTTAATCAATTAGCTAATTAATTGTAATTTAATTATCTTACTAGCTTTTTTATTATTTCTTCCTGTTGATTTTTTATCATTCAACTTTAATATTTATTGTTGCTTGAACAATGTTTCATTGACAAATTTCAATAATATATATTTATGTGTGTATGTGTGTGTGTATGTGGTGTGTGTGTGTGTGTGTGTGCGTGCGTGTGTGTGTGTGTGTGTGTGTGTGTGTGTTACTTCATTATTATTTATATTATAATGGAGATGAATAGATATATAATTTTGTTACTGTACCCTCGGTGTGGAGTTGATGGAAGATGAAACGTTGTTATTTCATTTATATTGGTTTTGTGTCGGTTCTTGTTCGTTCGTTCGTTAATTTCTATTACCGGCTTCAAATGCAGCCGATGGAAAATTCAACGATCCGCAAAGAGTTCGTGCCTGATTCACGATTGTGTCGAAATGCCTGAGAGTTCGATCATTTGTTGTTTGTTGTCGCCGGGACAACAAGAGCCATTACTTTAAAGGAATTGCAAAATCTGTGTGACAAAACACGAAAAACCTGATAGAGAAACGTTATTTTGGTTTGGAATTTTTACATTTTGTAACTCCGTAGCCGGTCAGTTAATGGTCAGTATTTCGTAATGGTCATTGTTTGTAACGACTTTTTTGGAAAACTGGAGAAGTAAGTTTTATCAAAGAATGGTTGAAATATTTTTTCATAGGTTGGTTGCTGATGGAAAAGATGACGATGATGATGGGGATAATGACGCAGAAGGAGATGATGGTGACAAAGAAGATGATGATGATGAAGAAGAAGATGATGACAATTTCGACCTTATTATCAGCCTGAGCCTACATAAGGTGAATCATCATACTTTATGTGCTAGTTTGTTTATGCATAAACACGCGATGGTTCATCTTTATTCATTCATTTACTTGTTCGTTCATTCATTTCTTCTTTCCTTCATTCTTTCATTCATTCATTTTTTTCCTCCTTCATTGAGTCAATCAACAGCTCGTTTAATAATTACGACAATTTCACAATTAGAAAGTAATTTCTTTATCCTTTCGTTCATTCATCAATGCATCCGTTCATTCAATCATTCGTTCGTTCGTTCCTTTTAAGCCATCCATTCTTCACTATGACTTTGACTGAAACTGTGTCTTAGGTTCAACAACATCTTGTGAATATCATTTAAATTATCAAAAGTCGTCCGTCTTCATAATTATTATTATTATTGTTATTATTATGTATTTCTTAATCATATCCGAACCATTTTTGGGCTATTTATAGGCTGATAAGGTAGAACTTGAGATACATTATAACAATGATGATGACGAGAATGACGATGTATACGTACACTTGCATACAGATATAATTATGTAATTATGTTAATATAATTATTATTGTTATTATTATTATTAATTATTATTATTAATTATTATAATTTGGCAAGCATAGCTTCATATTCATAATAACATGACTAGATAAATACACACACAAGCTTCTGAATGTTGAACCACGTTTAAGAACACCACACACACACACACACACACACACACATATATATATATTTTTTTTTCTAATTTTCATTTCACAGGCTTTCTCTCTCTTCTTCATTCACATCTCTCCATCATCTTTGCTCTTTCTTCTAACTTTAACTTGCTCTCTCTCTCTCTCTCTCTCTCTCTCTTTCTCTCATTCAGAGTTTCATTCATTTTTACCTTCATCCCATATCATATTTTGACACACTACTTAAACAAATTCAAATTAACTTACGTCATACATATTCATCCATCCATCCATCCATCCATCCATTCATCCATTCAGTCAGCTAGCTAGTTGTGTTGTGTTGTGTGTGATGCATTTCTAAGGTTAATAAACACACACACACACACACACCACATACACACACACACACACACACATGGTAGAAACTATGTATAATAATGATAAAATCAAAAATGTTGATAATAATGTTATCTTCGTACACTTAATACGTGCATTTTGTATGTATGTATGCATGTATGTTTGTATGTATGTATGTATGAATGTATGTATGTATGTATGTATGTATGTATGTATGTATGTATGTATGTATGTATGTATGTATGTATGTATGTATGTATGTATTTATTTATTTATGTATGAATGTATGTATGTATGTTTATAATGGCCATAAATAAAGGATAAGAACAAGTGTTATTAAGAAATCTCGAGTATGGCAAATTATTCTACTGCTCATTTTTAAAGATTACATAATTATTAATTATTATTAATATATAAATATTTGATCATAATTTGTAAGCATTGGTTTACAATGGGAATATATTATTTCGTTATAATTAACGTCTGTGCGCTCATGGGAGGAGCTGAGTGACTAAATAAATATTGGTTTCATGAATGCCATATAGTTTTTATAGCAATAATAATAATCAAATACATACATACATACATAAATGCATACGTACGTACATACACATACATACATACTATCAGAGCTATATAAGTGAATAATATTAACTACAAAAATAGTTGTATTAATTATAGATACTAGTAAACAATTATTATTATTTGTATATTTATAAATAATTTCATTGTTAATTTTGGCTAAAACCATTCGCACAGGGTTATTTAGTCTAATTAAACTAATAAAGGATTTGAGAAGGGACATTTTAGAAACGTCAACAACAGCAACAACAACAACAGCGGCAACAACAACAACAACAAAATCAGTAACATCATCAACAACAACATCAACAGTAGCCGTAATCAGCAACTTCTGCAACCTACATCAACAGGAAACATCTGCCCAAAAACCTTCAATAAAAAAATCATTAAAATATGAGTAACCCACCACCATACAATCCAGGCAATCAACAGCCATACTACCCCCCTCAACTTCAGCCGCAGTACCCACCTCAGGGACCTCCATATCCTCCTCAAGGACCTCCGTACCCTCCTCAACAGCCTTATTGCCCTACACAACCAGCACAACCAACCAACACAGTTGTCATTACGGGACCGATTCATGGAAGTTGTCCAAAATGTAATGTGAGTCCTTATGCTGGTTGTCATCAGTCAGTCAGCTAATCATTCAATCATTCGTTCGTTCATTCAATTAATCAAATAAGTAATTAAAATTAATGAACCAACAAATTTTTACCATTCAATCAACCATCCAAACAACCAACCGATAAATCAACCAATCAACTGACCGGTCGACTGATAGACCAACCAACCAACCAATCAAAAAATTTCATTTCAGAGGGGCATAATAACCCCGGAGTACACAGCTTGTGGCATCATTCTGGCCATTTGCTTCTTCCCCATTGGGATCCTCTGCTGTATCGCAATGAGGGAAAACACGTGCAGCGTTTGCAGGGCCCGCTTCTAGATGGCAAGACGTTGAAGATGATGAGGAAGAAGATGCTGAAGATGATGATGATGGTGAAGATGATGATGATGGTGAAGATGATGACGACGATGAATGAAGATGATAGTGAAGATGACGACGACGATGAAGATGATGGAATGGTGGTATTTCATTGTTTATGAAATTCTATTGCTAATGTAGGTAGATGATGAGGGATGTTAAATAATGGTGGAGATGATGATGTCAAAAGTAGCAACTGTGAGGTTTTCTTTATAGTTCTTCGTATATTCATATAAATATTCTAAGTTATCTAATTATTATTTCATTATCTATATTGATAATTGAATGAACGAACGAATAAACAAATATATTCTTTTGTATGTCTTTATGTGTGTGTGTTTGTGTATGTGTGTGTGTGTGTGTGTGTGTGTGTGTGTGCGTGTATTGTTTGAGAAATGTTGAGTGCGTGTATTGTTTGAGAAATGTTGATAGAGAAATAACAATAGTACCATTATCTATCTAGTTTTGTACTTTGTGCCTTTACTGCTTAACATGCTGGCTTTATCATTTGGTGTTTGTGTGTGTCTCTGTGTGTTTGTGTGTCTGTCTTTGTCTTTGTGTGTGTGTGTGTTTCTATGTTTTTGTGTCTCTGCTTTATTTTTTTCTTACTAATTAATTAATTTGTAGTTCAATTTTTTGTAATAGATTTTATTTTCATGTTTGACGTAACGAAGGATTCCACGATTTTTTGTTTTTCCAAGTGACCAGTGTCAGATAGCAGTCGGTGCGTCTCTAAAGCATTGATATCATATCATATATCATATCATATATCATGCCATATATCATATCATGCATCATATCATACCATATATCATGCCATATATCATGCCATATATCATGCCATAAATCATATCTGTTGCAACCAAGTTCATTGAAACATTTATTAAGGAATCGTAATGAAGGTGGTGTCGTTATAATGTAACCATAATTAAATATTATGACATACTATAGTAATACAATGCATAATCATAATTAATTATTATACATAGTTCGTATTTACAGTTATATTTATACGTAATTAATATCTGTTCCTATGTCTATTGATAAGTTTCACTCGGAAAAATTAGCCTAGAATGTTCAAAACCTGAATGAAAAAGCAAGATAGAGAGAAAGGAAAAATAAATGAGAAAACGAAATAAATGAATAAACGAACGAATGAGTGAACAAATGAGTGAACGAATGAGTGAACGAGTGAGTTTGTGAAAGTGAGTGCATTTGTGAAAGATTCAAAATATTGAAAAAAATTAATAAAATCTAGCAATATATATTATACAAGCGAACAAAAATAAACGAGTGAAGTAAACGAATGAAGCGCTACGCGAAGTATTCACTGTTTTTGGTAATGGAATATCCGGAAGAGGAAGTGACGAGCTCTGAAACGGCCAAAACGTAGCTTCCTTCGTCTTTCCGTCTAAAGCGATGAATTATCCAGGCGGTGATGATGACGATGATGATGATGAACGCGATGACGATTAGGGAAATTCCTGATGGTGATGACGATGATGAAGATGATGGTGATGATGAAGAAGGTGGTGGTGAGGATGTAGAAGATGGTGGTGATGATGAAGAAGGTGATGGTGAGGATGTAGAAGATGATGGTGATGATGGGTAATGCCGTTAAAAATTTACTTCATGCATGCAGTTGAAACCATCATATCATCATCGTCGTCCTCATTAACAACATAGCCATCATTATCAACATCACTATCATTGCCACATCATCATTAGTAGCAGCAGCAGTAGCAGCAGCAGCTACAACAGCAACAACATCACCACCACAATCATCATCTTCATGAAAAGTACTAACCAACAGTAAATACGGGATCGTGTTTGGCCAGTGCAACTGATGATGACGACGACGACGAAGATGTTTCTGTCTCATCATCATCATCACTACCATTGTAATCATCATCATCATCGTTGTAAGCATCATCATCAGCATCATCGCTATCGTCTTTTGGATTATTCTTATTTTTTTCCTGGTTTTCCCTGGTTGTATCGCTGATTTTGTTGCTACTGTGATCAGGATTGCTTCCACTTTTGTTCTTGTTATTATTATTATTATTATTATGATTATTATTATTATTATTGTGAAGATTCTTTCCATTCAGGTTGGGATAGTTTGCATCCTCATCTTGACCGTCGTCTTCTTGATCGTCATCATCATCATCATTATCGCCATGTAAGTCACCATCATCATCATCATCGTTGTTGTGAGAATCATCATCATCGTCGTCGTTGTTGTTGTTGTTGTGAGAATCATCATCATCATCAACGTCCTCGCCATTGAAGTCTGTTGTTTGAGTGGAGGGAGGGAGGAAGAAAGGTGTTTTTTTAAACTTGTTCTATGATTATCGTATATTTTTTTCCCAGTATCATCATCATCCCCATCATCATCACCATCCTCCTCATCCTCATCACCATCATCATCACTATTATTAATAATAATAATTAGGTCATCATCGTCAATGTTGTGACCTGCTTTCTCCTGATTGGTCGAAGTTCGAGTGACGTAATTGGTTTGGGGCGTGTCCTTCCCGGTGTTTGTAAATGTATGTTCGGGAGAGATGTAAAAAGGTTTCCCTATAGGTCGTCATGGTGATGATGACGATGATGATGGTGACGATGATGATGACGATGATGATGACGATGATGATGACGATGATGATGGTGACGATGATGATGACGATGATGATGACGATGATGATGACGATGATGATGACGATGATGGTGACGATGATGATGACGATGATGATGGTGACGATGATGATGACGATGATGATGACGATGATGACAGTTAATTAGCTAATTGACATGCCGACGGAAGCCTAGACATTTACGTCATTAATTAGAATGCTTACGTCAAACTTAATTAACCCTGCCAAAGTTATAATTGCAATAATAATAATAATAATAATAATAATAATAATAATGATGATGATGATAACGATAATGAACCGTGATGGTTGCAGATGGGCTGGCGTGGCATCTTCACGATGGTGTTCTGGATGTACTCGCCATCCTCATCCACACACCAACACTCCTTTGTGACGTCATGGCACTGAATTGGGTCGAAGGATCCGTCGTTTAGGCAGTGTACGACATACGGGTTTTTAGTTGACCTCGTTAGCTGGCATTTGGTTGGCTGGCTGGTCGGTGACGTCATGTTTTGCTGCTGTTGTTGTTGATGATGTTGTTGATGTTGTTGTTGATGTTGTTGTTTATGTTGTTGTTGGGGGTGGTGTTTGGATTTCGAGGAAAGCTTTTTTGCTTGTTTTTCATGTTCATGTTTGTGTTGAGAATGTCGATTGTGTTGTTGTTGTTGATGTTGTTGTTCATACTCATATTGTTGTTGTTGTTGGAGTTTATACTCATGTTGCTGTTGCTGTTGGTCCTTGTGTTGATAATAATTATTGCGATAGTTGTTTTTGAATTTGTTGTTATGCCGATGTTGTTGTTGATGTTGTTGTTGAATCATCTGTTCATCCAACATTCCGGAGCCATCATCATCGCCATCATCATCGTATGGTGGTGAATTATACAACGACGACGATGATGATGACGACGATGATGATGGTGTCGGTAGCCACATTTTGAATTCTGTTTGCGCTTTCTAGACGTGATATTCGTTGATGCGTATGTGGTATGATAGCCAAGTAATTTTTTATTTCTAAATTTAAAGTCGTCATCAACATCATCATCATCGTCGTCATCATCATCATCGTCGTCATCATCATCATCACCACCATCACCATCATCATCATCATCAACAACGTCGTCATCATCATCATCATCACCACCATCACCATCATCATCATCAGGAACTAACGTATCTAGCTTTTCCGTCGACTGAAACGGCGGCCATATTGAATAAAATAACCACGATTAAAAGTGAATTTAAACAGGAACAACTTTTTGTTGATTTCAGATTTTGATGATGATTGTTGTTGTTGTTGTTGCTCTTGTTGTTGTTGTGTCTGCTAGTTCGCCAGCTGGAAATTTTCAACGTGTGCATTACATTACACGTTTTAAATATAAAATCTCAAAAATATGTCGTTGTTGATGTTGTTGTTGTTGCTGATGTTGTTGTTGATGTTGTTGTTGATGTTGTTGGTGGTGGTGACGTAGACGATGACGTTGATGTTATGATTATTGTTGTAATCCCATGCGTCATATAAGATCTAATAGAAGAAGATGCAATGGATCGCAATATCTCGCCATGTTAAAATATTGCTTAAATGAAAGTATAATAATTATATTTTCGCTATAATTTATCCATAATATAATAACAACGTTTAGTTATTTTAATTATAGCTATTTTTATTATTTATCCATAATAAAAATAATTAGAAAATCTATCCATATTTTTTTATTTTAACTGTAAAAAAGTCGATATATTAACTTTCTCTTTCTTCATCTCTTTCTTTCTCTTTCTCTCTCTGTATATATATATATATATATATATATATAGATATATGAATAAATATGAATAAATATGAATATATATAAATATATATTTGGATATATGTATATGGATATATATATATATATATAGATGTAACCAGATGAACGCATACTATATGTAATATATAAATACATTACACTTTTACAAGTTACATATATATATATATATATATATATATATATATATATATATATATGTATAAGT